GATCGTCAGGACACAGTTGGAAGCGGGATTCGTCGCTAAAGACTATATGTCCCCAGTCGGCATCATTCCAGCCATATCTGTTCAAAACATTCATGCATACGAAATTTCAAAGCAATCGGATGATTGCTTCTTGGTGCTTCGATTTTTTTGTTATAGAGTGTATGTAAAGAGAATATGGGAAACGAACCATAATTTAATAGGGAGATAGAACCTATGTGTTGCACTGCACTGGCAACTCCGCTAGTTTGAAACAAGATTTTGATATATTTATTATAAGCAATATTTTGATAAATTAAAAGATTTTGATATATTTATGACCAATCAAATTATTATAATAAATTGCTTATTTGAAAAAATTAAAATTTACAGAAAACTTATCATTCCTTTAAAAAAAATTATAAAAAGTACAAAAACTTATAAGCGAATTTCTAGAAACTTGTTGAATTTTCAAGATGTTTAAATTACTTTAGTAACCAAATATGATTTGCAAGAAAATAATTAAACTTTTTTAAATTGTTGTTGTTCTCATCCCCATGACCAGCTGAGCTAGATCAGGTCCATGAGCTCGTTCACTCTGAGAAAGTCTAGCACCAGTAGGGGAGCTTGATCCAGGTCCTGCCTGGTAAGTCCCAGACAAGATTAAATGTGGTCAGGGGAGGCATGGGCAGCAGAACACTTAGTGCAGATTTCGAAGTGCTTATTATCATCGATATAAGTCATTGATGACAGATGTCCATCTTGCATAATCATCAATGATTTTTCTTCCAACTTTATAACATTTTTTTTTCAGAGTTATTTTTGATTAATAATAAAAATTACTCCGGAAATTTGGTTTTATTTTGCTGAATACTTTTTTAAGGTTCACAAATTTTGATGCAGTTCTTGCATATAATAACTAAAGTAATAAACTGAAGTTACAAGCTAATTGTTATATCTCCTGTTCAAAAAACTTTTCTTTTAATGTTCTTAATTTATTCCTTGTTCCTAAAACTCTGAAAGCATCAAATATCATTGATAAGTGTGAGTAATTGCATGATTTAAACACATCTAAAGTTTTATTTTAATATTTCTTGAAAAATTAGAAAAATTTAAAAACTGAAAATGCCTTTTCCATTACTGCACAGCATTGTGTATTAAGTCCAGTGTCACAAAGAAAAAATATAGTGAATAAATATAATTTATCATATCTTCTTACATCATTTAACAACAATTGTTTGCTTCAAGCAATACTGAAAGAAAATTAAATAAGAAACTGAATAATAATAATCATAATATATGTATACACAATACATTACGATTATTATTATTCAGTAATTATTCAATAATCTTAAATAAGAATAATGTAAGATTTCAGAAAAAGCGGAGAAAATAAGACTATAATAAACAGTATCTCGTGAAATGAGGAAGCATAGTTAAAAAAAAAATGCACACAAAGTAAAATAAAAAATCGATTAAAAAACATACAGGAAATTCAATTCATAGATTGAGCACAGACAATTAATACTCATATATCAATGGTAATATATTACTATACCTGATATGGTTTTATTATAAATGGTAAGCTTATCTATAGTAACAGTGAAGGATATTCCTAAGTCCTGAGGAAGATACGTCAAATTTACACAAGCTGCAAAAGGAAGGAAAAAAATGTTTAAAAAAAATATTTTTTTTAATATTCAAACCTTTACAAGGAAAAACATTTAACAAGCTACTATATAATACACACATATGACTTTGCTTATGAACAAAACATTGAAAAAAATTATAAAATACTGTTATTTAGACTGATATTTTCTTACTAAATTTAAAGACAACTGAGTTTGCATACTACAAAGATGGAATACTTATTAATCTAAGCAAAAAAGCACTTGAAAATTATCGCACCGAAATGATAGTTAAAAAAGGCACTAATATATATATTAAAGCCCGGAACAAGGCAGGATATTATTAGATCAACGAAATTAAAAAAAATAATAATAATGATAAAAAATAATTAATTTATAAGCGTGTACTGCCGGATAATTCTTGACCGCAGATAACGAATTAGAGGTAAATTTTCTACTTATAGGACTTCCTAGTTATTTCAATAAACCGAAGGGACGACTTAACATCAGAAAGGTCCTGGGTTCAAATCCCGGACAAGTCAGTAATAGTCAGGAAAAACGATATTCGAAAGAAAAAAAGTCAGTGAATTGTCAGGGGAAAACGCAATTTCACCCTAAAACCGGGAATTGTCATTGTCAGAAAATTCGACATTCAATCAAATTTCACTCTTCCCTTTTTCATAATATCATTATTTGCTCTCACGCAATAGGGGATTAAAAAAAATCCAATTTTTTTTCAAACCAACCATCGTCCCGCAGTAGACTGATCGTTAAGACACAGTTCCCAGCAGATTACCGAAGTCAAGCATCACTGGCTGCGGTCAGTGTGCGGGTGGATGACCACTTGGATAAGTCTGCGTAAGGACCGAGGGTGCGCGGTATTGGTCCTCGTTAAACTGTTCTACCGTAAAGCGCTCGACTTCGCGTGCAGGTCGTTGGGCTACCGAAGCGGGGGTACCATCCCCTCTGCAGAGGATCAAAATTGTGATGGTATGTCTTCGGATCATCCACCGGGATGTTTCCCAGACCGTCGCCAATAGCCCATTGTGCAGCTCTAGTGCGACGTAAATTAACAACAACAACAGCACATTATTTATTACGAACAAAAGTTTTTTTATCACCTGTTATATTTATCTATTTGACATCGATTAACAAAACAATATTTTTCTTTTGAATAAATTTTGATTCTTTAGAACTGCGGTATCATTCGCAAGTTTTTCTTGGCATGGAATCACATCTGCTTTCTTTAAAAATCGTGTTTTCATAAAAAAAATAAAAGGAGACGATTGTTTATTAATTTATGCATGCAATTATTTATTACTAATTGCAGACGATTATTTCATGAAGCTGAGTTTTTTTTTCTTTTCTTTTCTGGATAAATTTCATACTCAATAAATTAATTCTTTTTTATAAGTTTTTTGTTTTAAAATTTCGTTGATCTAGTAATATCCTGCCTTGTTCCGCGCTTTAATATATATATTAGTGCCTTTTTTAACTATCATTTCGGTGCGATAATTTTCAAGTGTTTTTTTACTTAGATTAATAAGTTTTCCTTTTATTTCATCGCCTCCCCCCTCCCGTATAATTAGGTATGAAATATATTGCGCTTTTTAATCATTCGTTTTGCTTTATATTAGTTAAGTTAGGAATTTTAATGATTTAAAAAAAAAAAAAATATGAGAATTTTGTATTTTTTAAACTTGTTTTTCTTGTCTAAACTTGCAATTTTTTTTATTCTTTTAAAAGTTATTTTTCTGTCATTTTTTTTTTAAATTTTGGAGAGATTTCTTTTTTTCTCTTACTTTAAAATGTGTTACACTTTTTCCTTGTAGTTTGGGTTTGATAAAACATCGATTAACTTTTTGGTCTATCCAGAAAACCGGGAAATTCAGACATCCGGGATAGCGATGGTCCCGAGCATCCCGGAAAATTGGATATATAAAGAACGACATTTTGTTTTAAAATATTGAATTAAAAAATTGTTCCTATGAACTCTAGTGGTGCTAAAAAAGTAAGGACCTTTAAAAACCGTGTAACAAAATTAATTACTTTTAAGGGCCCTTATTTTCCAAAATTAAAATTAAGCAGTTTTTAAGGAGTGTGGGAACCATGTTTTACAATTTTTAGTTAGAAAGGTTGCAGTTGATTACTGCTGCTTGTTTTACAAGGCAATATTTTATTTTCAAACAGATAATCTTTTTTTCAATTTAAAAAAATAAATAATTGTATTTCCGAGCTCAAATCTGCTGCATTTCACAAGATATTAATGATATTAAGTAATTCTGGTGAAATTAATCGAAAATTTATTTTAGTTATTACGCCTGTGCTAGGGATTTCAAATAATAAACTTTTAAATTAGTCAAATATCAAAAGCATTTTCAAAATTTCGAAAGACTTCGCCAAATGCAAATCTTAGAAATTTTTTTTAATTAATTTTTTACCCATAGAAAACTATTATGCAATAATTTGTTTCAAGCTTATATTATTTGGACCCAATTCTGATTGGCTATGTGGCGCAACTACCGAAAATTACTGTGATCGAATAAATAATACTGATTTGCTTAGAAAAATGCAATTTGATGTAATTTTTGAGGATCGAGTAAAATACTGTTTGTCTAAGATAGGTACTCTGACCTCCACTAAGTATGCGGCAGTTCGGTGCTATGGAAACAAGAAGAGGGCATTTTAGGGAGGGTGGCTCGATGAAGAGGTCTCCTTTTCTTTCACCGAAAGAGGGACCCCCATCCTTACTTGAAATAATCACACCTCGTTACCATAGTCACCGCTGCAGCTCCAGACGAATTCAGCCAGACTCTTTCCAGTGGAAAAAATCATTCGCTAAAGCTACGATTTTATCGCATTTGGCAAGTTGGCGATTGCTTAGCGCGGGCCCTGGTTATTTAAAGATATATTTCTAAAAAAGGAGACATTGTTGTTATATTTACTGGGCCCATCTTAGCAAAATTGGGGCCTGGGGCAAAAACTTCTTTCGGGACTTCCCCTAGCTTCACTATTTCAGTAATGAAGAACAGAAGACGAAATGTAGTTCTATCCATTTTATTGATTTTCTGAGATTTATATGTCCATCGTGCCGAATGTAGTTTTCTGATTGTTTACTTTGTCATACAGCTACGAAAAATTCATATCCTTGCTGACAGTAGGGCGGAATTCAGCGAAATTTGTCAATTGCGATAGATCAATAAAGCCAATCAGAAGTCTGCATTTTTGTAAACATATCACATTTCACGACATGTAAAAAAAGAAAAAAAGCTTTTGATTGGCCAAATTTGTCTATCGCAATTGCGAAAATTTAGCTGAATTCCGCACTAGAGAGTCATGGATTTACGAAATATAGGTTTTTTATGTTTATACAATAGATTAATGAAGAAGATAACATAAGACTAATGAATTTTACACTGTACTAATATTTTGTTTAAGAGAAGTTCATTAAAGAAGGAAACCTAAAATAAACCTTCTGTTGAAGAAACACACCCGTCCAAGGAGGTGTCGCCAAATCTTCATGACGATAAAGGGTCTCAAATGGTAAACCGATTTACCTCGATTTTGAGTGACCTAGGTAGAGCCTAGTAGCCTAGAGTAAAAGAGAGTGGACAAGGGAGAAACGATTCCTGATTGGTGGACAGAAAAACTTTACCGCCGGAGGCGAGAGTGGAAAATTCGCCATTGGAATTACATGGAGTGAAAATTATCTGACTCAAAAAAATTATGTTCTGTATTAATAAATGCATGTAATAAGTTCATTACTTACTTTTTTTCAATAAGAAACTTCACAGTTACAGTAAATGTTAAAATTATGGCTGAAAATTTGGATAGTTGTTAGTTATTAGAATTTATCCTTATTATCACTTACTTGCGTGCATATAAAGTTATGTTTATCTCATTGTAAAGAGAACAAGGTGATGAAATAACTAATGGTTAGATAAGAATAAATGTATTTACTTTTAATGCACATAATTTCTATCTAAATTACTTATAAATTTTAAGATTTGAGCATCTTTTTATCAAAACTTCAGAAGTGCAGAGTTTGGCGATATTACTTTGACATGTTGGCGCGTTACAATGTTCCCGTTACAATGTTACAATGCGCGTTACAAAGTAGCATTTGTTTACTTTTCGTTACCAACTGTATAAAATGCTAGTTTGTTTTAAATTTCAACTAATTATGGAAATTTTTGTTTACAATTTGTTGAAATAAACAATACCTTTTCAGGTGAATATGCGATAATTTTTTCCTGAAAAAGTAATAAATAATAATAAATTATATAATTTGTTTTATTAATTATTATTTCTGAAATAAATGGCATAATCATTATTAATTTTTATATTTTATTTAAGGCATTTATTAAAAGCTGAAGTCTTTTCATTAGTCTTTTTTTTTTTTTTTTGACGTTAATTTTTTAACAATTTCAGATGCTAGACAATGTTTCTTAAAAAATCTGTAATATCATGTGCTTTCCAATCTTAAAGTTTATATTATTGATACTTTAGTATATACTCTTAGAATAACAGAACCTTCAGAATAACACCAAATGAGCGAGTGGCGCCAATTTCGGTGTATCATCTGGCAACCCCCTTGGACAAAAATCTGACGGCAGCGCATGCGCTCTTGGATATTGTCATCACTCTTTTCAATACAGGCACTCTAATTCCACCTTTAGTGGGATTTATCGGAGGCTCAAGAGATTTTTGGGATAAAAGCTTTCTTTATCATCTCTTATTCTCAAATGAAAAGGGATAAATCAGTAAAAAGTAAAGAAATTTTACTAGAAAAATATTATTCAAAGATTATAAAAATAATTTTTTAAAATATCAGTAATCCTTCAATTCAAGATACAAGCTTTGAAGTATTTTGTTTGTTCAGTTCTCGTAAAATTATTCTCTCGATAACAATCTTATCTTCATTCTAGAAAATTGAATTCTGAAAATTTATACGACGTTTTCGAGTATTTTTCTTATGGGTACCATTCATATGAGAAAGGGGGGGATTCCGATGCGAACTTTTCGAAGTTATATATACATATCGTGTGTTTTCATGCTTTTTTTATACTTAAATTTAAAGGGCACATAACAAAGCATTATCCGATTGAAAATGCCAATCAAACTATTGCATTTGTAATATTGTTTTTCTTTCTTGAAGACTTAAAATAGTTGTGAAAAAAATCAATATTTCACAATAATAGTTATTTATGGAATTCAAGTAAATATGTTATCATTCCCTTATGATTAAAATTTTCTAACTATGCAATGTTTAAAAAAACTTATAAACATTAAAAGACTCTGCTAAAAAAATTTTTTTTAAAAATAATAATAAACAAAAAGATTAAAAAAAGAAATATTTTTCGAAAAATATATTCATAGCACTTAAGTCTCAATATATCAAGTTCTTATAAAAGAATGCTTTCGTGGCTCATTTACCGTCGTCGTAAAGTGTAAGCGAAAAAATTACTGAGGTGGCATATTAATAATCTTTTGGCGCAAATTGGAGACTGATGTCACTTTTATAATTTTTTTTCTGACTCTCTAATTATAAGCAAAAATATATTTAGGTACTTTTCAATTATAAAAAACACTCGATTAGTTACCGGATCAATATCAGATTATTAGGAAAGAATTTGTGCAATTTTTTGTTTTAAAAAAAGCGTGGGTAGACTATATTTGAGGGTGCCCCCGCCAAGTTGTGATCGCCAAGCTGAAACCAATCGTGATTCTGATTGGTTTAGATTTAAACCGTAATTCCGATTAGTTTAGAATTTAGTGTTGCTTTTAAATGAATTTTTAAATGTAATTTCAGAGATCCGTTTGTTCTACATTGGATACCGGCTGGTAAGGTTACTTTTGCTTCTGGCACTATAAATGAATACTGTCAATAAGATAAATCTTAAGTTTCTGTACGATTTGAATAACAGTGGAAAAAAAGCAGTGATTGACTGGTGTATGAATGAAGGTTTAATTAGCAAAAGATTTAAATGTCCTGTTTGTGGGTTACCACGGCGTTCTGGGCAAACAAGTATGGCGCCAAAAATAAGTCGCCAATTTCGCCAAGGGGCACCCTCAAGTATATTTTTCCCAAAAGCGTTATTCGAAAGAATTTTTTTTATAAAAATGTATCAATAATTCTTATTCAAAAATATATCAATAATTGATTTTGTAATTACAATAATGAATGATTGTTTCTCTTAATTTAAATCTAAATAATTGAAAATAAGTGCACATTTGAAGATTGTTTGGAAGTGTTATATTTGGAAAATTTTACTTTTAACGCAGGGAAGACAACGGTTGTTTCATGTCGTATTTCGTAACCATAAATTATTAAAATACTGAATACAATATTTTCACTTGTTTTGACTTAAATTAATATAAAGCAATGAGAAAAATATAAAAATCATATTTAATAAAAATTCTGGGCCAAAAGGTTAACGATTTAATATATTATAGTGTAAAATAAGTGAAAGAGTAAAAGTGAATCAGTAAATAAATAAAAAGTATTAAACATTAACTAAACAAAAAATTTTTATCTTATGAGCGCGTGTAAATCGGGTATGCGTTGATAAGGAGTTGAATTTCCAGTTTTGTTTGAGAGAGAGTGGAAAGATAACACCACTATCTTTATCACTCTTAAAGGTAGGCTGGAAGATTTACATGCAAACAAAAGGCACATTTTGAGTACATCGATTCGATTCGATGTGGGAAATCAGTTTTATTTAACAAATTTTTATTTAGATTGAAAATATGAAACATAGGACAAAAATCTATTATAAGTGCATTTTAGAATTTTAGATGATTGTAAAGCATTACTAACTAAACTATAATACAATTCATTATAAAGCTCCTCATACCCATGCTACTGATAAGGGGAAAAACGTGAAAAAGTGTTGCAGAACCGTAAAGCAGACAAATAAAGTTCGTGTAAGCAACAGAGCACCCCAAGAATTTTTATTTTTTTTTTTTTTAATAAAAGTAGTCACACTGGTTAATTGTTGCATAAAGATCATACTTTTACACCAAATTTACCAAATATTCTAAACTTAATTAGGGGATAAGTAAACTTAATAAAGGGAATATTACAAATAAATAAAGTACTAATAAACTTAAAGTTACAGTGTCTGCATACATTTAAGACTATTTTTAAAATTTACGAACCCTTACGAATATTTCGTGAATTAGAATTTTAGATATAATTATATATATAT